GCCTGGAGGCCCCAGGGGCCGGGTGGGGTGTACTCAGCTCCACACACAGCTGCAGGGAGGAAGGGAGGCTGGCCTGGATGGCTGGAGGGAGCGCCGAGAAGGGGCAAAGAGGAGAAACAGCAGGAGGACAGGGAGAGAAGGGAGGATGAAGGCGGGCAGGCTAAAGTGGAGACTGGGAGCCAGGCGTGATGGCACATGCCTGTCATCCCAGCACCCTGGGAGGCTGAGTCGGGAAGACTGCCTCAATTCCGAGGCCAGCCTGGATACACAGCAAGACCCTGTCTCAAAAAAAAGCGCAGACAGAGAGGGAGAACTCAAGAGCAGGCGAGAAGAGGGGAGGGAAGTGTAGGACACGTAGCATGGGGGTTGCCGAGACCCAGGCTGGGGGACTCAGAAGCCCCAAATCCTTGGGGATCCCCACAGCCCTCCCAGCCCTGCCGCCTCCCTGGCAGTATTTCCCTGGCCAAGAAGTGAGCCCAGCCTCAGCTCCCCAGCCCAGGCGCCCCCGCCCTGGGACAGAGGGGAAATGGCCTGGGCTGCCTGCCTTCCTGGGGGCTGGGCTGGGTCTCCAGGCAGGCGCTTGTTGTAGCAACCGGCCTTGGGGACCCATCAAGGGGACCAGCACAGCTAGAAGCAAAGATGGGGGAGCAAGTTTCCCAATCCCTGCTGGCCCCCAAGGCCACCCTGGGCCTGGCTGACAGTGACTCTGTAAGTGCCCACGCCCCTGCTTCCAGGATTAGATGGGGCGCTTACCTAGCAAGCAGGTGTGTAGGGTGGTTGCCAGGCAACTGGCAGAGGCACTCCCAGCGCCCACAGGAGGGTGGGGAGGACAGGCACTGGCTCCTGGCCGCCCAAGGTCACAGGAACTTTCTGTGCGGTCCCCAGCCCCACACCCTAACCCAGAGAGGGAGGAGAGCCCGGGCCCTGGGGAAATCCCTTAAAGTGGGAAGGGGTCTCTGTGGGAGAGTGAGCAGAGCCACTCTGGGAGGGGACAGACTCCTTCCCCAGCTCCCGGAGTATAGACAAGGGCAGGACCCAAGGTGCTGTCAGATGAGGAAGTGCGACTGATGGCTGGGCTTGGGATGCCTGGGGTCTTCCTGGAAGTGGAGGCCCCCAAGCTGAGCCTTGAAGGTTGAGAAAGGTTGAGGGAGGCCTGAGTGTGGGGAAAAGGATGAGGATGGAGACAGGAAGCTGGAATTTTCCAGGAAGCCTCCCCCCACCCGCTGCCCCACTGCATTGTCCCAGCCTGGCCCAATTAGCAGGCCTGGCTCCTGCAGGGCCCAATTAGACCAGGGCCAGGGTCAGCTACCGGCCAAGGCCACCCCCACCCCCAAACTTGCCCAGCCCAGCACAAAGGCTTTCTAGATGTCTCTGCTGCTCCAGGAGGCAAGAGAAAGAGCAGAAGAAAGGGGAAATCTATGCCTTTTGTTTCTTTGCTGTAACCTTGGGCTGAACAAAGAGGCAACGCCTTCCCTCCCCAGGAGGGCATGTGATTCCCACAGAGCGGGGGAACCTGTTCGAAACAGCACTTGGCACAGATTTGCTGTGGCCCGGAGACCCAGCCGCATATGAGGAGAAGCATTCACAGGGCAACAGCTGGGGTGGGCAGGCCCTGGTGCTGGAACCATCCGTGGCTCCCAACTGCTCTCTGTTCAGAGGCAGGACTCAAAGTAACACAGGCGAGGCCTGCTCAGCTCTCTGGACACACAAGCCTAGGTGCTTTGTGGCTTGTGTTGTGTCCCCACCTCTTGAATCCCACCCAGTCCAGGCAGATCCTGACTCTGCTTCAAAGACCTGGCTCCGCCCCTTCCGGGGGGGGCACCCCCTCTCCACTCCTTGCCTCTTATTTACACTTTGTGAGCAGAGTCCAGTGACGAGTCCCCACCCTGAGACTGGTGGCTCCCTGGGGACAAGGGTCTTTCCACACCAACAGAGTTGAGCTTGGGGTGCAGATCCTGGTTGCCAGCCTTGCTGCAAGAGGAGGTGGAAGGGAGATTTATAACAATGCAGAGCCCAGAACAGGCTTGGGAAGCTGGGCGCACCCCGGTGATGGCAGGGAGAAGGGAGGCCCTACTGCCAGACCCCTCCTCCCAGGCCCAAGGCCCCGATCAAAGAGAATGCCCTGCCCAGACCTCGGAGCCCTGCCCTCTGTGTCTTGGGTTGTGGCATCTCTCGCTGTCCCCTCCCATTTCACTGCCCCATCTGGCCAGCTCTGTGCCTCAGTGTCCTGCTGTGCCATTGGAATGCATGGGCCTCCCTTGCCTGCCCTCTGGTGGTGACATGTCTCTTTTATTTTATTTATTTATTTATTTATTTATTTTTATACCGGAACTCGGGACCTTGTGCTTACAAGGCAGGCAGCAGAGCCACTGAGCTAAATCCCT